TTTTTTCCTTCCAGTATCGTTCTTATTGAGACCTTTCCGTAAATTTTCCATTGAGGAGTTGAGTAAATTAGTATAATAAAAACTACGATATTTGTAGTTAACATAAAGGTGCCCGAATTGATGAATTCCTAGAGTCTCAATTTCGTATATATACACCATCTTATATATATACATATATATATATGTACTTTGAATGATAGTAGTTCACTTGTAGTAGATGAAATGATGCTCAGGAGCAGCGCTTTAAACAGTTAAACCTATACTTTCCACACCGTGTATTGCTCGTCGGTGTCAAACTACAGAGACTACAAAGTGGTGTTTACTGAATGAGAAAAAGAACAATCGCTAGATAGGTTCGCCAGTATAGGCTCTCTTGTCACCTTCAGTGCGGTGAAAAGAAACAACTCAAATTCTTACTCAATCCATTCATGTTTTATTTTCAAGCAACGCCTCCATTCGAGAGAAATTTCACGGTGGCCGAATGTAACACACGATTCCTTATCTATTTTCTGATTATTTTCGAAAGTCTCAAGATGGAATGGTTAGCACAGGGAATAGCACAGGGTGGTGACACGATGAGGGGAGGGTTGAGGTGGAGAAGGGCCTGTGTCCAAATTGCATGTACATATAGACTGACTATAGAATCAATGTTCGATTCTGTGATGAGCAACAAATCTCAAGCTCAACGCACTCTTATTTTATTTCCTTCCCATTCAACTAATGATGTTTCATTTGGTTATAAAGCGCAAATAGTGACAGACCGTTTCGCAAAATCTTCCCTAATCATATTACCTATTTCGTTTTCCATAACACGTATGTGGATATTAAAAAATAATTTTTTTCTCGATCATCTGTTTTCTTTTAGACCATTCTTTGTTACTCTTGGTACGGACGTCTATGTTTTATCAATATGACATAACTTTTTCCATAAAGTCAATATATACCTTTTGCACTCTTTCTAGTTCTCATCAGAAACTATTGCTGTAACAAGCCACGCTTGTCGGTATAAGCCCACAAAAAAAACCTACAATCAACTTGCGACTTGACTTTTTTTTAACTTCATCGAAGTAGTACTAACACGTGATCGCTGTTGTTAACCAAAGTTATTGCACTAAAAAATAATCAAAAGCGCATGCGCAGAACGGCTTATATTATATCATAAACCTAAAGTCAAGCTAAGTGAGCTCTCACTTTATACAGCGGATTTTGATTTATTGAAACGATTATAGGACTTAATGCCTAGTGATTGTCATGGCAACAGGTACGTGTCAAAGCGCGACTGAACACTAAGAACTTCAATAAACTAAAAAAAAACTTTGAAATTCAATGAATTTTAAATTTAAATTTGATTCTTCACTAACTTGGCTCATTATTCTTTGATATTACATAAACCTTTTCAAAAACTCTTCTGCGGACTTGTTTATTTAATGTAGGTTATAAATTATTTGATTATATAGATTTTTCAGTTGATTCTCTTGAAATATAAAACCGCCATGGCGTACCGTTCTCCCGGATCTCTGATCGTGATGCCTTCTTCAAAGAAAGATTAAAAGATCACTGAAAGTTTAAAGCAAGCAACAGGAAGTACCAACCAAGAAATCAGTCAATACGTTTTTTGAACAAAGTCATTCATTTTTCTCCGTTAGTAACTAATATTTTCTTATTACAAGTAATAAATGAGCAATGGTTATTGCAAAATGAAACATGACTTCGTCAATTTTTTACCAATTCAATTACCAAGAATAAATATACTCTACTAAAATGTTTAAAACATTAGTAAACAACACTTTTCCTGTAATTTGCATGGTATGATCATGGTTATCGTAGAAGCATTTTTTTCCGGGTTCAGATACTGAAATGAACGCATTTCTTCTCCAATTTTTAAAACTTAATAGCCATGTTATCACGAAACAAATCGAGTAGCTTGCGTAGATACGAAAGTTAAAATAACAAGTTTACCTATTTTTTAGCTCCCTAGTTTATCCCTCGTGGCTCCTTAATGGTCACATTTCCTACTAGCTTTGTCTCATGAACCACTCGTATGCTTGTTTGGTTATAAATCTGTTACTCATATTTGAGTGTACAATACTGTAGCTTAAAAATAGCACTCCAAATATGGAATACCGATATTTTGAGCGCAATCTAGAGCCCTTCGGCTTTTTGGTCAGCGGGTTGGCGCGGGTATCATGCGCTGTCAACTAGGGCGCTGAAGGACTCTCAAAACTCTATCCCAGGATCACTCTACAAGAGAGTAAAGAGAGAGAGAGTAATCCATCATCTTATTTCTGGTAAATCGCATCGGTCTCATTTTGAAAGCCTTCGGTATTTGGATTCAGCGGAGTGTCTGCGCGTTCTTACTCAAGGGACAAGATCGTAAACGTAAAATAAGTGTTCAAGCTACGACAGATTTCTTCAGTATGACGTGTCCATGTGCAAGCTTTTTGATTTCGATAAACAGTAATATATTGTGTTTCATTGGTTCAACAAATGTCGTCAATTTTGTACCGTGACCGTGCTCTGTAACATTTGACAATTAAACCTGTTCCACTCCGTCGACGTGAACTCTTGATTCCATTTGAATTGATTTCAGTTTCCTAACAAGTTAAATTATATTCTTAAGAACTCGTCTCTGAGTCTGCGTTCATCCTGCTCAGCGGCGATCCCAAACTGCTGAACAGAAACAACCCAGGCGCTTTTTTCTTTTTCGTGAAAGCTAAATTTGGTCACGAACAAACCAGCCAATCAGAATCTCCGTGTTTATTTTAACGAATAACTGAATATGAAGTTTATTACTCATCATTGTCATGAATCCTGAAAAAAGATTTATCCCATTGAATAGCATTTACAAGTAAACACTTCCGGAAAACCTATGTAAAAAGTAAAGATTATCCTGACAACCACTCATTTTGAGACAAATAAAAATGTATGAGTTAAAACTGGTCACCAAGTCTACGTGTCCGTTAGTCTTAGGCTCTAACATGTGTGTATATTATTGAACCGTTATTCTAGCTTCTCTCGCTTGCAGGGCGCTAACACAATATTTATCAAAGGTTCATTCGAGAAATGAAAATGGGAGAGCCCCTAAGGCTGTCACACAGCAAGATACGAAAATAAAATGCGCTAAATATAACATCAACAAAAGAATTCTACGATGTGCTTAGTAAAGCTTTTTTCTGTTTATTTTTCGCGCTGTACGACCCGTCTCGTGAATGTTATTTATTTTCTATTCATTCGTTGATTTGTTTGTTTTTCCATTCCTTCACATTCTAGGTCTAATATCTACTGAGCGTTCTACTTCCGCCCACTTACTCACTCACCCCAAGCTATGGTCATTTACGTTGATGGACAAAGTGAGAAGATTGAGTGAATTTAGAAGAGGGGAAAAGAAATGATACACTTTCCATAGTGAGTCGATACAACAAATGGTAGAACAACTGGGAAACCACAAAACAGTCGCTTTAGCCAGGAAAGATGAAAGAAAGAAAGAAAATGAAAAAGTGGTAGTCAAATAAAAGAGTAGCAAGCAGTAAGAGTTTGGAAAGCTTGGTTCGCGCGTTGAGAAACAACTGAGTAGTTTGCTAGCTTTTCAATATGTTTCACTACCGTAGCGGGAATAAAAGACGTTTGTTGTATCAGATCATCCTAAAATGAGACTTAAATACACGATTATCTTTAAAGCTAACTTACAAATTCCTTACCTTGGGAGCTTGATTTTGAAAGATACGACGAAAAATTGGACAACAACTTCACAGGTAGAAACTGAAAGTTTTAGTGGGAACACAGTGATCAGTGTTCATAAATATAACACATACACTTACAAACTGGAATGGTCCGTGTCACCGGAAAGGGACGCCCCCAAAACTATTCAAATAGATTTTCTTACTTTTAAAAGGTAGAGTAGACAGACTGGGTTCAGTGTGAAACAATTTTGGCGGCAAGGTCCTTACTTGTCTAAGTCCTCAGTCTTTCTTTTTTGACAATGAAGCTTTTAACGCATTGACTTAAGTTATTCACAAGTTTTTATTAGCTTGATCCCTTTAAGAGGGATAACAAAGGCTTAAGAGGCTCAAAGTAAACTAAAGAAATATCTCCAAACTCATTCATATTTTCATTAATTCATTCGTTCGTGGGCGATTTTGTTTTCTATTTTAATGATAGTCTTACTGCGAAAGGTATTTCCACATTCAAAGATATTTTAAGTTAACCGTTTAGGATGAATTTATCACCTGTCTTGCTAAACAATGACACTCCAATTTTCCCACACAGTTTTATTTTGGTAGCAACAGCTGCTTATTTAGGCGGTTCCGGAGCAATCTAGGCGGGAAGTCATTCCATCATTGATTTGAAAGCACTGGCTATCATAAACGTAAAGTCTCGTTTGTACTTGTAAGTCTTCGTATGAATGACTGTGTAAGTGCTTGGTTATGCCTGCTGATGTCCTAATTACCAATCCTTTAAACAAGAGTCAATTAAAACTAATAAAAAATGAAACGAAATGCGTTGAAGACAAACATGAAAAATGCGCGACCTGATTAGACCAATGAAGATCAATCTTGTCGACTTTAGTCTGTTGGAAATTGAGTTTTTCTAGTTGAGGTTCCAAAAACCATGAATGTGATGGTTACATATAGTACTTTGTTATTATTCATTATCTAACCCTGAAGTAAAAAGTTTTCACTTTCTGTTTCTATGTTGTTGTGAAAGTTCATCAAACTTTGGTTTAATGCGTACCAAAGGTTGCGGAGCTGAATTCAAAACGTTTTGAAACTTAAGAAAAACCGTTTGGAGCCTCCTTAAATGCACGCCTTAAAACTTTGTCTCTTTCTCCCCTCCCCTCCCCCTTAATAGAATCGGGATAAGCTGACGGTTAAAGCTGATGAAATCTAGTGGAGAGCTAAGGGGTTTTCTTACTCATACGATAAAAAGATTAAGCTATTTCGATGTTACGACCTGTCGTACCGTGTATATGCTGTAAGATAGTACCGTAAGTTTCCCACTTATGCGATGAACCATTTTTATTTTCATTTTTCTCGTTATACGTGCTCAGTGTAAATATGTGTCGGTATACTTTCCACTCATATACAAAAATTGCTCAAACTTTCCATCATTGTATTCCTATGGCTACCGATTAACTAGTCTGTAACACAATACAACAAATCACTCTTGCCTAAAGTAATGATTAACGCCCTGTAGCCAGACAGGTTGATAAAAAGCAGACAAATTATAGTAAGCCTGTTCGTTAAAATAAAACAGTCAAGAGAGAACCATCTGCAAGTTGTTAATCTGAGTAAAACTAATACACTTGTTTTAGCTAGGACGTAAGGCGTAATGTTTTCCCACTGCAGACCATGTGTCATTCTCTTGAGAATAAGATTATTTTTTTTCAATCCATATGCAAATGATAAACAAGGAAATAATACTGTAGGGAATGACAAGTGACAATCTTCCACTTTTTGTCCAAAGATCTTTGCCCCTCTCGTCTTTCTTTTAGTGCTTACACTGTATCTAGTTTGGGGCTCGTTTTTTATACAAGACATTTTACATTATAAACAATGTTAACAAATTAACTATGCAAAAATCTGCCTGACTACTTAACACATTTCGTTGCTTTTGTTGGTGGGGTTAAACATGTTTGTCGCCTGGAACACTGGACGTGTTATCATAACATGAATCCATGGTTTGATTRGATACAAAAAAACTTCACTGACTGCTGCACTAATGTAGAAATTTAAATGGGTCCCATAGCATTGTATTTTTTTGCCAGAAAATATTACGAATAAAAACATCACATGTGAATGGTTCTTACTTTTATTATTTAATCTTTGAATTCTTCATCGTCAAGTTCTAAATCATCAATATCTTGGAACAATGATTCATCAACTTCAACATCAACATCTGTACCTAGAAAGAAAAAAGAAAATTTAACTCTGTGATCTCTTGTCTTTTAAAAACAACTTGGACTTTTATTGACAAGCTGAACTTATTAAAGTCAGGGTGTGGCTAACTCACAGATCAAATTGGAGTTTTACTTGTAGGTTTTGTTGGGAGAAGAAAACTAGAGAACCCAGAGAAAAACTCTCAAATCAAAGGACAGACCTAACAAACCCTACTCACATGTGATGCTGAGTCTAGGAATCAAAGTCAAGAGCCCAGAGGTGAGAAGCAAGTGTACTACTGTTATGCTCCCTTTGATTACCCAAAAGACAAGATATTTAAAAGAAAAGCAATAGAAAAATTAGAAAGGATTCAAAACCAACTAAAAGTGATAAAATGATAACTTACTGTCAATAAATGCAGCATCAGAAAGAATCATTTTCTCATCTTGTTCAAACAACTCACGACCTGTGAAAATATCACAACTTGTCTGAGCAAAGATGGATGGATGGATGGATGGATGGAT